TCTCGTTAGAAATGGTCTTCATCAACCCATGCTTGTCGAAAGAGGCGACTAACGGACCAGGTGGTCAGGCTCGCTGACTTGGTTGACACATGGCATTGCATCCCAAGAGTGTAGATCGATGATCATACTATTTACCACTGGATTGTCTGGTCCAGACTCGACTATTTGCATATAGCCATTACTGCCTGTTGGAATGATGTCGAGTGTGGCGTTAAACAACCAAACCACACCAAAGTAAGGTGTTGTCGTAACCGATTTACTGAGTCCAGGAGCTGTCGCTGCCCTTGGAGCAAAGTAGCAATGTGTCTGAATGTATTATTTATTTCATAGAAGTAATTCCACAATGTGGCTAATTATGTTTGAATTTGATATGTTCACGGTGATTCTTATGTGACAAAAACTTTGAAGTTCTGAATAAGATACCAACTGTATTCTCCCACGACCTTACCAGTTCCCGCGCGCTGCCCTGAATCGGCGTACCAGTATGCTTCTGGACAGAAATCAGATAAAAATAAACGCTAACTAAATCAAGAAGTTAAAAAAAAATATTTAGTTCACCTGTGAAGATTGGTCTTCAGACACCAATGATTGTCGTAAAAGGGGCTACTTGGGGCGCGGTGGCCGAGCTGGCTAAGGTGCTAGGCTAGTGATCCAGCGAGCTTGAGGTGTCGGGATCAAGCCCACTTGTGGCTGGGTGTAAACATCTCGGCGTCAACTTTGTGTGCAGACTCTTTCAGTGTTGTCACAGCCCCTAGTGTACAGTACACATCCCTGTGCACTTAAAAGAACCCACGAATCCGTTGGCATATGACCAGATGGTGGCCAAATGAATACATGCAAACACCAAATTGCGGGTACAGCAACGTGCAGTCAACTTGGACAAAGTACTGTGACTATGTGCTCCAGTTCACCCAGCTGTGAATGGGTACACCGTTAGGATGAGAAGGCCACAATAACTCGGTGCGCCTAGTGGCTGCAATAGTTGTATGCTCCCCAGGGAGTTGAGATTGATAGTAGGATGTGCCGTTAAGACTGACATCCAATGATCGAGGGAGTTGTACCAGCGCCTTGAGCAAGCACCAATTGCCTGGATATGTGCGCTATATAAATATACTATAATAATAATACTTGAGTCGGGCGGTCAGGGGACTTGGTTGATGCGAAGATCGATGCTCAAGATGCCCATCAAATAATTGCCTGGTCCAGGTTGGCTTATTGACAGACCGTAATCATATAGCGTTTGTGTTCAATAGATATAATAAGTGACTGATGTAACTGTTCTATCATTTTACTTTTAAGACATTGCGTGTTAAAAGAAGTAAGTTTCCTTAGGTTTGAAATCTCCCACTCACTTTCTTTGCAAGTGTACGAAATTGTTTGTTTCCATCAAACTTATATGTATGTTGAGACTAAGCGATAGTCTAGACATCGCTGTGAGGAGCTTGAACAGTGCTTCGGAAACACAACTATATATAGCAAAGCTGCGTTGTTGATTTTCGCGACTATCGGCTCGTCCACGCATTGTCCAAAGATACAAGCAATCAGTAAGTGTCGACGCCTTTATGCTTGTTTGTAATCAAACTATATTTCTATTACATGTCCGGTTGAACTCGAGAACGTATAGGACAGAAATATATGTGGTGTAGGTGACTGTGAAAATGAAACTAGCGTAATGGCGATCATAGCAGGAAGTACAACTTCAAACAGGTTTTATTTTGATCGGAGTGTGTTGAGAATGGGCAAAACCGAACAGTAGAAGTTATGAATAAAGGGACGGATTTCACATTTATCGATGGAGGGAACACCATTGTCACCACACGCCTTTCCCAATCTATAACATGTATTAAGACTTGCACCCCCATCGATGAATACTTGATATGTGCATCAAATACGAGAGCCAATCTGAATACGCGTAAGGATTTAAGGCGTTTGAGAAAACTTCCCACGTGCGCTTCAATCGATTGTATTAGGTACGTCAGCCCTTAAAACATCGTGACAGCTAGATCTCAACTCAACTTGACACAAAGTACATGTACCTAAAATTATGCTAACTAGTTTCAAGTTCTTCAACTAACTCTCAGAACATTATACATTTATAAGTGATATATATAACGGATGAACCTTTATTCGTAAAACCATCCCGATAGATCTTTTAGTCATAGCAGATGACACTATGTCTTTATAAATCGGTGCAAAAGTAGATACACGACCAGTAAATAAAACACAGTCAGTTAATCGACAAAGGTAACGCAGAATGAACATCCTGAAATTAAATAGAAGTTGTAATATTTTCTGTAAAATGACACAGAGCAGAAGTGTGTTACCAATTTTCACATGTATGAGAGTACAGTGTACTTGAGAAATGAATGGTAGAGTTTACTGGTGTATGGAAGGTACAGTGTACTGGTGGCAATAATTGGAGTACAGTGTACTGAAGATTATCAGATGGGTACAGTGTACTGGTGTGTATGGTGAGTACAGTGTTCTGGTGTATGGATAGGTACAGTGTACTGGTGAATGGATAGGTACAGTGTAGTGGTGAATGGGTGCAGTGTACTGGTGTATGGAAGAAGGCATTGCGTAGTGGTGAGTGTAGAAATTTACAGATGCACTGGAGAACGGTTTGGCAATACAGCGTACTGGTGCATGGAAAGGGCACAGCGTAGTGGTGAGCGTAGGGCAACAGTGTACCGGAGAACGTAGGGGAAGTTGTATGGATGGATGGCAGAGGAATTCCAGCGTATGAGGACAGCTGATGCGGTGTACGGAAGAATTTACAGTGTACTAAGAAATTAGCCATAAGGAGGGGCACGAGTGTAATGAAGTATATGCAGGGGTAAAGAGTGTACAGGGTGGCCATATTGAGGGGCACGAGATTTACTACCACGCGCTAGAGGAGACATTAGCCACTGGGCGTATAAGAGGTACACAGTGTAGTGGTGTATTGACGGGCACAGTGTACTGGCGTAATGAAGCAGTACAGCAAAAATTGGTTTATGGAAGGCGTACAGCGTAATTGGTGTATGGAGACGTACAGTGTACCGGCTGCATCGAGGGCACATTGTACCGCGTATGGAGGGAGTTCCGTGTGTACCGGTGTATACAGGAGTTCAAATGTACCGGTGTATGAACGGGCATTACATGTATACCGGTGCATAGAGGGTACAGTGCACCGATGTACGGGATGGTACACAGTGCATTAGCGTATGGAAGGAACACAGTGTATTGGCAAAAAGGAAGGAAGTACAGCGTACTCTGAGAAATGGATAGGTAGAAGCTTTACCGGCGCATGGAAGGGATTGCCAACGTACCGGTGTATGAAAAGGGCACAGCGTACTGAAGGTGTATTGAGAGGCACAGTGTTCCGGTGCATGGAGGGCACATTGTACTGGCGTATAGGAGAAGGGCAGAAGTGTACTGGTGTTGTATGGAGGCACATTGTACCACAAGTGTATGGAGGAGTACAGTGTACTGGTGCATTGAGAGGCACGGGTGGCAATTGGTGTATGGAGGGGCAGATTTGTACATGGTGTATGGAGGCGCACAGCGTTCCAGCGTGTGGAGAGCAGAAGTGTACTGGCGTATTGAAAGGGGCACAGCGTAACGAGTGTATGAAAGGGCATTTTGTGCATTAGAGTATGGAGGGGTAGAGCGGTAATTGCGGTATGGAGGAGCACAGTGTACTATTGAAGTGTTGAGTACAGCATTGCGTACCAGCGGCATTGAGGGTACAGCGTAGCGGCGTATAAGAAAGAGGCACAGTGCACTCAGTAGTATGGAGAGGCACAGTGTATTGCCACCGCAAGGAGGGGCAGAAGTGCACTGGTGTACGTGGAGGGCATAGCTTACTGGCGTATAGAGGAGGACATTGTACTGGCGTATGGAGGGCACAGTGTAGTAGTGTACGGATGGGTACAGTGGCAATTGGCGTATGAAGCAGTACAGTGTACTAGTGCGTATGGAGAGCGTACAGCGTATATTGGCGTATGAAGACGGGCCAGTGTAACCGGCGTATGGAGAATACATTGCACTGACGGTGTATGGAGGGGTTCCGTAAAATGGTATTGAGGGCATAGGCAATTGTGTGTATGGATGGGTACATTGTAAATTGGTGTATGAAGGCGCACAGCGTACCGATGTACGGATGGGTACAGTGTACTGCGTATGGAAGGAATACAATTAGTACCGGTGTATGGAGGGGGCAAGACAAATTAGTGTATAGAGGGAGCACATATGCAATCTGAAAGTAGCATTGTAGGGGTAGAGTGTACTGAAGTATGGAGGTACCAGTGAATGGAGGAGTACAGTGTAACAGTATATGAGGGGGTAGATTGTACACTAGTGTATGGAGGGGCGCTATGTCTCTAGTGTATGGAGGGGTAAAGAGTAAAATTAGCGTGTATGGAGGAGCACAGTGTACCGGTTCTACGGAGGGCAGAAGTGTACTGGTGCATGGAGAGGGCAGAGCGTAGTAGCGTATCGAGGCGTACAGTGTACTGATTGTATTGAGGGCAGAGTGTACTGGTGTATAGAGGGTACATTGTATTGGAGCATGGAGGGCAGGAGTGTACCTGGTGTATGAGGGGCAGTGAAAGTATACCAGTGCTGAGGGTACATTGTACCAGTGTATGGAGGGTAGAAGTGTACCGGTGTATGGAGGGAGTTCAGTATTGCTAGTGTATGGAGGGGTACATTGTACCAGTGTATGGAGGGGTAGAAGTGTACCGGTGGTATAGAAGTGGTACAGTTTACCGGTGTGTTGAGGATGCACGGTGCTGTACCAGTGAAGAGGGTAGAGTGTACTGGTGTATGGGAGGGGTTGAGTGTAATTGTATTAAGGGAGGGGTACAGTGTGCTGGTAGGTGATGTGGCTTACAGGTTACTGGTACATGGGAGGTGTACAGTGTGTAGTGTAGTATTAACGAGGGTATGGGTTACTCAATATGTTAGAGGTGTACAACTATACCAGTAGTCACAAGTTAATGATATCTGCATTGAAGGGGACCGTGTGTACTACCTATTGAAAGTAACAGAGTTACCGGTGTATGCTAGGGACAAGTGTATCGTTAGCATTGACAGGTCACCCGTGTACATGGAGAGGACAGAAGTGCCGGTAGTGACAGGTTACGGGCACAAGGAGGGAACACTTTACAGGTTACCGGATACTGCGCTACTGGCCGTGTGGAAGACCCGGCGGAGGTAAACTCGCTAAGATTTAAACCGGTTCCCGTTCGAGCCAGCTTGAACGGTTGTATAAGTACAATGAAACTAAGCAACCTATTAATCAAAATCAGCCAATGTATTAGCTACATGCATACTAAATTCGTTTGGACCTAGAGCGCTTGCGCGGCTGGCTACGAGCGCTCGGGAAATATCAAAGCAGGTTACCAGTCTTGGGAAAGGTACCGGGTACCACTACACTAAATCATAATTGCCTGCTCGCTGAGACAGTGCGTTTGTGAAAAACTGAAGAGATAGAGATATGTGACAGTTGTGATTGGATTAAACAGTGTAAGATGTTTATGTTTTGTTATGTTAAACACATCCATCCGCAATTAAACCGACCACAATTTTAAGGCAGTAAAGATGTCATTTTATTTCTAACATGACTTGTATGCTTATGTGTGCGCTGCGATATTTCAAATAGCTGACATTTTCGAAAGTGGAACTCATGTTGATGCGTTCAGCTTCCTGTTCTAGGAAAAGTTAGCGGGAAGTTGTGCTTTATTGTAGTTTAAACCAGAAACTGCTTCTCTATTACATGGAGATAGCTGTACGATTCTGTTATGTTCTTGAACGCACTGATTGACACAGTA